CTGTCATACGAGGACAGATTGCGATCATTGGGACTATATTCCGCTCAGTATCGCCGAACTCGAGGAGACTTGATTTTGACGTATCAAATACTGAAGAACCCAAACCATCCGTGTCGATCGCTTCTCATGTTATCGAACAATGTACACCTAAGGGGACACCGTTTCAAACTACTGATTCCAAAGTCTCGACTGGATTGCCGGCGCCAGTCTTTTGCTGTCAGAGTATGCAAATCTTGGAATGCCCTTCCATCTCATGTCGTTTGTGCACCCACTATTGAATCTTTCAAGCAGAGACTCGACAAAATCTTGGCACACCTCACATTCGTACACTAAAGGCAAACGGGATTCACTGTAGCCTACATTCTCTATCTCCTACCCGGATCCCTATGTGACTCCTTTTTTAGATGTGTAACGATTCATCTATGTAAACATCCTATGGGACAAGAGAAGCACCAGCTTGTAAGCTATTCCCATAATAAAACTTTGACTTTGACCAACATGGCTATGGCGGCATTACGGTTTCTAGTCCCGGAGAATCAGGGCCGACTTCCAGCAGGGTTCAACCAGTTGTTTGACCTGAGGTAGGTTGAACATGTCAAGCGCGGTGTGCATTATTTGCTGATCGCCAGCTATGGAGCACGCCTTAATTTGGCGCGGATGTAGAAAAACCTACAAATAGTTCTCAGATGTAGTAAACAAGAGTAACGTAAAATCGATCATCGAAGTGTTGTTCTGTAAACCCTTTACTCCTGCTTTATGCAAACTCGGTCACAGATCAGGAGTGCGAGCCCACTGAACACCGTCACAGAGCTGTCTCCCGGAGAGCTCTCCGGGGATGAGTAAAGTCTCCATCCTGCCCCATCGCACAATAACTGATCACACGGAATACCTATTGAAACCTTTGCTGGGGCAATTACACACATGGCTTTCCCATGTCAAAGATGGTTACACCGAACCAGGAGGAGAACACAAATTGGCAAACAAGCTCGTTTTCAGTGTGTCTTATTCATGCCATTACAATACAATATTTGTGACTAGTAACAGATAAGGATTAACAGGGGAAGAAAGGGAAAGTAATTAAAGTATTCAACATTTTGTATCATAATTAGCCCTCGATATTAATTTGCTCCGATGTTTACGTAGACGATATTCTGTGCGCAGTCGATTCTACAACGAACTGTCAACATAAACGAGATAAGTTCAATGCTGCGATTCGGAATCTGAAATTCACGATGGAAAATGAAAACAATCAACTAGCATATTTAGTTGCTTGCCTAATTCGTTGGGATGACGGGTCCAATACAGTACACAGAAAGGCGACGTGGAATGAACAGTAAATTCATTTTTGTAGCTTAGTACCACTCAGTATGAAGAAGAATCTCATATTCTGTTTGGCCAAGAGAGATAGAAAAATTTGCACGAAGGATATGCTGATTGAAGAAGTCCAAAGTTTGCAGGACATCTTTATTCAGAACGGAACTCCGGAAAGCTTGGCAGAATCTGTGCTGCAACGACAAGAAGCGTTTTCACAGAGGGCAATTGCTAGAAGGAAGTCTGTGTACATTTTACGCCAGCTTGATCAATCAATCTCACAGCAGCAAGCTTGGATTAACCCATTCGATTGTTAAGAGGCACCAGGAACTCTTGATGTTCTTGGGTGTGGGTTTCATTTCCTGGGAGTGCCTGGTGCCTCTTAACAATCGAACGTGATAATCCAAGCTTGCTACTGCGAGATTGATTGATCTATTCGCACAAGATGACCGTCGACCGTGTAGCTTAGGGCTAAGGATTTGAAGTGCCGACCCGTAATTTCGCGATTCGTGTCCCGAGAGGGACACACAAAGTACGCACAGCTGATGAGTCCCAGACAGGACTAAACAGCTGTCCAGTGATCCCTGTCGGTTATCACAAACATTTCCATCCGTGTACCTTTCTTCACCATTTAAAGGAGACAACTTGGCAGAGATTGTGCATAGAAGACTACTAAATGCTATCAACAAAACGTTCTGCGCAGCTAAGCTCAAAACTAGAGTAATATCTAACCCGTTGGTGTATCTACGGTTGAAGGATAGGGTGCCCATTTCTACTGCCTCTTTCTGTATTTACTCTTTCATTTGCTCCTGTGGAGCAAAGTATGTTGGCCGCAAGACCAGGGGTCTGTTCGAGGGCATCAATTAGCATCACCCTGCGTGGTTGAGAAGTGGAGTAATTAAGTCAGTCACAAGTGCGGTGGTGTCACACCTTGTCGACACTAATCACATCATAAACGTGACCGAAGCGTCCCCACCCTTGCATAGAGTTAAAGCGCATTCTAGCCACAGCGGAGGCAGTTTCCATCCGTCTTCACCCCCCCCCCCATTGCTCGCTGTGCAGGCACTCAAGCCCCCATGGTCGGATTGCCGACAAGTGACCTGTCATGAAACATTGGAGCAAATGATAAATGGGGATCAATTATGAAATAAACTGTTGAATACTTTAATTTGTTACCCTTTTTCCCTCGTAAATCCTTCTGCTACTAGTCATATATATATATATATATATATATATATATATATGTGTGTGTGTGTGTGTGTGTGTAATGACATCAGTAAGACACACTGCAAACGAGATTGTTTCCCAATTAGTTCTCATTATGTGTTCCGTGGAATTGTTTGAACAAACTAGGAGGAACTATTTCCAAACATTCAGGAAATGGATCCCGGATAGGTGTGTTGAGCAGCTTGGACACCTGAACGACAATGGTTGATGGTGCCAGTAGAAGTATCCGATTCGATACGAAGTTGAGGATTGAGACAGATGTGAAAGCCTAGGGTAAACAGAAAACAGCAATGCGCATACAAGGCGGTCCAGGAGAGCGAGAAGCACTCAAACAGGAACAGGCGAATAGTCATGTGCAAACGACAGCGAGATTTACGAACGACCAAAGCGGCACAAATGCATAACGACAAAAAACACGTTGATGGGAACAAATAACAGAGAACGGTGATCACGAGGAACACAGGATGAAAAAGCACCCCTCCCCTTTCTCTTAGGATGGGAATCTCGGGATCAGAGATACTGAGCGATAAGGCTAAGTGTGGTAAGCAGCGGCGCTCGCACACCTACGCATTGCCCTTTTAACCTTAGTCTACTCGAGTTCTCTATTTTAACCCTCACACGGATTCGAACATTTAAATCTTCCCTTAAGTTAAGTTCAGTTTCAATGGTTGTAAAAACTAAACTGAACTGAATGCAGGACCTGCACCGGTAAATTTTGGTGATAGTCTCGACAGTGTTTCCCTGGGCGGAACATGCGAATTGCTCGGCAGAACATGTCTCACTCATACCGTACAACATTGGATAGAAGAAATAGACGGACAATTTGCATCAGTATACAACTAGTAGTGAGCATAAATAATCGATAAGTATAATCAATGCTTTATCGTTCCTCGTGAATGATACAACAATCAGACCTGGAGTATTTCAGTATCCATAATACCCTACGATCGGTCGGGAATAGAGTGCTTAAGAACGGTGGATGCAATCAATCAGTGTGAGTTGTTTACGTGAACTAATGACGATTCTCGCTTGTTTGTGATTGCAGCGTAAATACCGACCCAAAATACCGTCAACCGATAGTCTGCTCGAGGAGAACAACGAGTGGTCACTGGCAGGGGATAACTGGACGAGTGACCCCGGGGTTTCTAAATTTGAATGGGTTGATAAATAAGCATGATCAAGCCAATAATTTTCATCTCCAGGTAAAAATAACCATTTCCTTCAGAAAACCTTCAACCAATATGAACACAAACTCTAGAATGAGCTTCAAAGCTCACTATGGCGTTGTTCCAAATGGCATGCTCAGAACAACGGTCCAGGAGAAATTGAGGGGGGAGGTAGAAATATTTAGCTTCGGTAACCAGAAAAGTGCTGTGAAGGATTCCGCTGAGCTAGTCATGATCTTTTTTGATTTTCAACATTCGATTGAGGTTCCAGATAGAAACTCGAAGCGAGGCGAACTCTTTCCACGAATTTTCATAAAATATCGATTGATAGTACAAATTTACGGGGTATAGAGAACACTGGATCTCACAGAGTGAAATGGAAGAATAGTGACTACTCGCTCACTGGAAAGTAAATGAAATTGTTTTCTTCGTTCTGTACACTAACTAGAATCCGATGTCTTTGTAGGTCTATCGTAATCGATCGGTCCCGATCAACTTCGCACTAACCATCTTAGGAGTTAGAATTTATCAATGCCACCCGCGGTCTTTCACAAGGGTCCGTACTCAGTCCCCGTCTGTTTCTCGCATTCATAAATGATCTACCGAAAGTGTTAGGCCTAAAAACAATACTGTTTGCAGACGACATCAGAATCTGGAATACAGTAACAGAACCTTCAAGAATCACTTAACGCAGCTTATCAATGGTCTAAGGAGAACGACATTGAATTCAATGTTTCTAAATGTAAAGTCCTATCCCTACGCCACAAGGGAAGATTTTCGTATTTCTTCGGAAATCGGCAGCCACCATATAAATCAAGTGAAAAAGACTTTGGTATTGTTGTTCAAGATGACTTAAGCTGCTCGATCACCTGCGCTAAGGCTTCGTCCGCTGCTGTGAAGAATGTCGGCTTGCTTAGGCGAGGCCTTGGTCGGTTTGAATCAGCACTGTTCCCACGTTTGCTAAACGTGTATATTCGACCGTACACAGAGTACGCCATTCAAGCTTGGAGTCCGTGGTTGCAACGTGATCGCAAGATGCTTGAGCGCCCACAAAGGATGGCCACCAAGATGGTCAAGGGATTGCATTTCTGCACCTATGAGGAGAGATTACGATCATTGGGACTATATTCAGCTCATTAACACCGAATTCGGGGAGACTTAACTTTAACATATCAAATACTGCAGAACCCAAACCATCCATGCCGGCAGCTGGTCACATTACCGAACAATATACACCTTAGGGGATACCGTTTCAAGTTAATGATTCCAAAGTGTCGACTGGAGTGCCGGCGCCAATTGTTTTGCAGTCAGAGTATGCAGTACTTGGAACAACGTTCCATCTCACGTCGTTTGTGCACCAACTATTGAATCTTTGAAGCGGAGACTCGATGAAACCTTGGTACGCCTCACACTCCTACACCATTAAAGCAAACCTAAATTCATTGAAGCCTGCATTATTTATAAACTCCTAACTGGAACTGCATGTGATTTCTTTCGCCTTAAAACGATTCAATTATGTATATATCCTATGAGCACAAGAGAAGCTTGTAAGAGCTTGTAAGTATTTCGCATAATAAATTTTTGACTTTGACTCGATTCGGAACAACCTGATCCGGATCGGATTTTTGATTACAGTGGTGCAGTGGTGAATCTCTCGATTTCACATAGAACTGAAATCAAATGAGTGCTATGCTGTACGGGCGAGGAGATGGAGAGCCGGTTTGGATAGGCCAAGTGGTCAGTGCGTCGGTCTGAATACGAAACGTTTGTGCAGTACTTACAGCGCTTTTCAGTGATGTGTGACAATAAACGGACTTTGCCAGACGAGTCTAATTCATAAGAGTTTGAGTGTATACGATGACAAGGTGGAGTGGGGTTGGAATAAAAAAGCATTGCTGTAAGTGATCCGGTCACGACCAAGAGGAGGAGGACAGAAGCATCGAGACAGTGATAATCAAGTGAATGAATATCAATACCTCGTAGCTACAGCGAGAACTGAAGCAAGCACGCACAATTCCAAACCACCAGATGGGGGGGGAGGAGGAGGAGGAAGAGGAGGATGACTGCGCAGCACCGGATGGTACATGAGAATAGAATGAACTCTCCACCGCATGTTCAGTTAAGATAGAAGATCGTCAAAGCGAAACAACACATACAACTGCTTCCCTTCTCAAGGTCTCAGTTATTTAATGACGACAGGGGGTTCATGCATAATAGACGACATGTCTTACCTGGAGTCCGAGCTGTTTTACCCTTCGGTCTTCGTTTGGTTTTCCGATGCCTGAAATAACGAGAGTAAGCAAGCAGGACATATTTAGTAAATAGTATGAAATGAAAACGCAGTTCATCGAACACTCGTATTTTCGGTGACTCATCAACTGGTTTTATATGACGTCGTTCTGTATGGAAAAGAGAAAACAAAGTTGATGATTATTCAAATGGGGATTGTTGTTGTTGTTTTCTGTCTCGATTTCACANTTCACAAGAGAGGATACGGCTGATCCTGCCATCGGAATTTACACTTGGTCCGTGTTACTAGTGTGATTTGGGGTGGGGGGTGGAGAGCCATGGTAGGTTGAGTGACTTCACAAATTGTTTTTGGGCGCACAAGGGGGAGGGGGATTATGTAGACGAATTCCAACCGACTCTGCGTTGGTTAGGATGCAAGTGTTTACTCGGCTTTGATCTGTGACCCCAAACATGCTCCAGTCACACTCACTCTGTGAGCGGAATTGATGAGGTGTGAAGCATTGGGACGTGCAATAGGTTTAACCAGGGTTCAGCCAGGCCGGATGATGTTCCCTAACTCGTGTAGATAAGCGCTTGCTGGTCGATAGACGTTACTCCACAAGAACATGTGAACAGGAATTCACAAAATGAGGCTGCAAAAGCAGGAATCCTGTCTTTGAGTTACGAACACAAGATCGGTCTGGACGTGAATACGACATGTAATTTTGCCGCAACGCAGTTCTTGGTTTGAGGATAATCAAATCCGCGATTGTATCCCCTTTGAATGGGACAAAGATGTATGCCGGCTTCTTCTCTGCGTTTAAAAGTATTTCCCACAGACTATTACTTCGTAAACCCTTATCCACAAAATGTCCTGGATAATCGTTTGGTAGGAAAACATTACGAATGAATGATAGTTCAGCATTTATGGTGTCATCAGTGCAATTTTCACCGCCCTGTTTACCAAACACTGAATCACATTCCTTTTTCGTTTGAGTGGCACAAAAATTCTGAGATGGAAATACTGACTGCACCACATCATCTAACAACCACAAATGCGGATCAGTAGCACATTACAACCCGATCTCGAAGATTTCCCGATCTACTGGTGCGTAAAGTGATGATACAAAACGTTATCGATTTTGGTCAATACACTATTTTCTTAAAATATTTCTATGAGCTAGAGATGAATCATTTAAAAGGGTATGCTTCGAAAGATGTGTTCGTAGAATTGGGAACAATCAAACTTTAAGAAATAAGGAAATATGACGTAAACAGTAACTGATCAGACGCCGTGACGTCCGAGGGAGAATAGTGAAAGTTTATTTGTTCTACCGAAAACTGATCATAAACTTTAGCTTCAGAAATAGCCTCATTTTGCAGTAACTATGCAGAAGTAAAAATGATTTAACCAGTAGTTCGGACATCGAAATAAACAATCAGTGAAGTGGTGGTGGTGTGTGTGTGCAAGATGAGGTGAATAAGGATATCCGGCAAATGACTCACATCTCAATGAATTCATCTAAGAGCAGTTGCCCGGCCGTCGCACGTTCATCCGGATTGGCAGCAAACGTGCGCATGAGGAAATTGTGACAGGTTGGAGACACTGTGGGGGGGATGGTCGGGTGTGTTTTGTCCCGGCCAACTGTGTAGAATGCTGCGAGTGCGTTATCAAGCTAGGAAACCAAGTGGAAGGAAATGCACACACATCAAGCCAATGGGTTTTACCGGTCAGTTTTGTCAATTATGGATTTATACTACTCAAACATTGTGAGTAATATACTCGACAAATGTGAATTGACCATTTGGCAGAAGGGGTTTGATTGGATGTCCACAGAAGGCGGTCCTATAGAGTACTTAATCCGATAAGGACAACTTATTGCAATTGATCAGCTGAAAGCAATTGTAATAAGTATTGGATAACCTTCATAGAGTTATTCAGATGCTGCAGTGATCCCGCGAATGTCATTTCAAATGAACTTCGGATGCATCAACGAATAATTTCTGATTCTCACAGAAAACAAACGAAAAGTGAATTCCAANTCCAAAGCAACCAAGCAACAACTGCTTTATAAAGAATAACGCTGGGAGTGTAAATATCCTACGTTCGGAGATAGCGAACCACAAATGGATATTCCTGCCAATACTCAAAATATTTTAGAAAATAATTATTGTCGTTGATATTTGTTTCTAAGGGACAAACATCCTCAAGATTCATTCGAATTGATCATCAGTCCCGCGAGGTGACGAATAGATGTGATCATTCAGATGACTGTAAAGGTCGATTAAAGAAGAGAGTTTGGTTACCATTGCGACCTCAATTGAAAGAAGAATACCAGAACATGTTCAGATGATGACGGGAAAAATACGGGCTAGAAAAGACAGATATCATGAAAGATGGCTACAATAACTCCGCCTCATGCTTCATCCGAGAAGGATCTGGGAGTCGTCATTCGCGCAGACTTAAGTTGCTCCACAAACT